TGCACCCTGGGGTATTTCATCGCTGCAGTGCCTAGAGCTTTGCATGGAGTCTTGTAAGAAGAGATGCATCTTTAGTTTTTTAGGAAACTATAGTTTGCTTTCAGTACTAAAATGAGTGTGGTATAAGGGGGATTGAAATAAACTTTTAAATACTAAAAGATTTAAGTTATTGGCTTATATTTCATCAAACCAAATAATTTATTGACTGTTTCAATGAGCAGATAAAAGCAATAAAAGAAAACCCATTTAACTACGTTGGCGTCTGCCAAGAAAATTAAACTGACTTCAAAGCTTTACTCTGATAGTTAATGGCATTGAATACAAGCTGTTTTAATTAATACATCTGTTCTGTCCTTCGGCTCAGTCAGACTGCAGCTGTGAAACTAAAATGAAATAACGTAAAAGCAATGGCATTGCATGGTTCATGCCTCTCTTGAGCAAATATGTCATTTCTCTGACAGAAATTACTACTTTGGGCACTCTGTTTTCATCTTAAACCACACTTGGAATTTGTAGTCCTTCATTTAAATAAATCCTTATAGTGATTTACCAAAAGCAAAGGAGAGAACCTGTCAGCATTTTAACTTTGACATATGTACAGTTTTGAGATTGAATCTCAAGTTGGGAAGCTGTGTGAAAAAATACAGCTATAAATCAGATGGCATCTAGAATAATTTAGGTAGTTAAAAAATTTGTAAAAAATAAAACTGGAAACTATAACCCGTGGCAGTGATTGACTCCTGGTTCTTTTTTTCATCAGAAGTGTTACCTCTGTAGTATTCGTCACCCTGAGACTGTTAGCAGACATTTATCAAGCTCATAAAAGTTACGGAAGATAAATGATCTCTGTATTGCCTTGTCAAAGATTGAAATGGTGGCTAAACAAGGTTTTGAGCTCCTTGGGAAAAATAAATAAATGTCATTTAAGGTAGTTGCACTAATGAGACAAACGACAGCATTACCTCACATTTGCTATAATGGAATCCTATTACGGTTTTGTGTTTTATGTACTTGAATACCCCTTCAGCCAAAGCGTAAATTCCAAAGCAGCTAACCACCAAAAATTCTTGATATGGTTACACTTGTAAGGTATCTGTTAGGCCTGCCTATTTCCCAGACCTAAAGAAGCTCCACTACATTTGCGTATCTGTTGATACTAGAGCCAGTGAAATGGGGGGTACCGAGCCCCTAATGCTTTGCGTGGTGCTGGGCATTTAATTCATTCTTTCAGTAAATATTGAGGGAGAATCTGTTATATGCCAGATTCTGGCCTATAAACTGGTAAGTGTTGAGCAGTAAATTAAAACCAAAAAGCCCTTCCCTCATAGAACTTAGAATTTGGGGGGAAGGACAAACCTGGTGTTCTGTGGATGTTTAACTTCATGTGGTAAATGGATGTGCTTTATTTAATCTCCAAAGGAACTAAAACAGAATGTAGTCATTTTAGCTCACTTGGTCTTTCCTCCAAGGAAATACTATAAAACTAGATGATTTACTCATGTTTACCTTAATCTTTTCTTACAGTTCCTCAAATTCTTTGTTTCTAAACTTGCTTGTGGTCTTACAATACAGGTCTCATGTTTACACTGTAAGGCAGGGTTTTTCAGGTATTTGGGTTTCAGAGGCGAGTAATAATTTTTTTAAGTATTTATTTATTTATTTCAAGGGCAAGAGAAAGGGAGAATCCCAATCAAGCTCCGTACTGTCCATGCAGAGCCCAATGCAGGGTTTGATCTCATGAAACTGTGAGATCATGACCTGAGCCAAAATCAAGAGTTGGACACTTACCTAGTTGAGCCCCAGGCCAGTAATAATACTTTTGACTTTAGGGAACACTGACACAAGATTGCTTGTTTTTAATTTTGCCAAGTAGAGACGCTCAAAATAAAAGCAAAAGCTATTGTCACCAGATCATTTTTTCAAAGCAAGGACATTTTAAGACCAAAAAGTAGGTAGGGCATAATCTCAGAATAAAGAATAGTCTTCTGCATTGAAGAAATAAAACCTCAGGAAAAGCTTGCTACATTCTCCTTCTCTTACTTTGCCCTGGACCTTTAGAAACGGTCAGTAGAGAACAATTATGACTAATTATAATTTTGGTTTTCCTCTTGATGTTGCTGAGGGATTCTTCTGGCTCATACTGTTTAAAGAGGTTGTATAATTGCATGCTATCTTTTTTCAGAGGTATATTTTGTATAATAGGTTATATAGGTTTGTTTGGGTTTTTTTTATATTTATTTTGAGGGAGAGAGGTATAATCCATCAGGAATTAATTTTTATGTATGGCCACCCAAGTAATTCTTGAGGGTGATCAGCTCTTTCTCTTTTAAGTACTTCCCTTTCGTCTCTTCTCATCTTCCCTTAATTTGCAAAGCAGGGGCGTCTTTCTTTTCCATTTCCCAGAGTAGACCATAGGCAGAGTCAAAATGCTGACAGGACAGTTTTCTTCCCCAGCAATTTATTCGCTAGTTTGATTTGTGGAGTTGTGAAAGCAAGTCCCTAAAATGAAATGGTGTGCTCAGTCCAGTTCAGTTTACCATTATTTTTGTCTTTCCTTAGAAGTAAAACTTAATATTCATGAATTTTTTTAAAGCAAAGGTGACTTTTATGAATTCGTTAGAGAAAATGAGAAGACTAACTCACATACCATGTCCCCTTCTACACAGAATAGAGCTGTTTTTCTGACTGGTGTCCTCTGTGCTCTGACAGTTTGTCTCAGAGTGCTGTGATGAACAGTGCTTTGATGAGCTTAGTAACTTGTAAAAGACAAAAGCTCTTAGAATAGCTCAGTATTAAATATTAATATAGTAATACCAGTTGTTTGGTGTCATTTTTCCAAAATGCTTCAGTCACTTTCTCCTGTTGCCTCTTATATAAGACATGTACAAATATTCTTATTTTATGGAAAAAAGCCGAGGTCCTGAATTATTAACCCATTTGGACCTGGGGCCATTTCTGCCTCCCAGGTCAGTGCCCACTACTGCTGGATGCGTTCAGAAGGCTCTGTTTATAAGTAGCTAATAAGGGTCATCCTGCATGCCTGAAGGACCCCTGTGGCCTGTGTGCCAGGGAGCAGGGGAGTCCCCTCTTGCTACATGTCAATGTGAGTTGGTGCTAACGTTGCAACTGTAGTTTCCCCATTTTCACTAGATTCCTTCCTTCCTCCCAAACAAGGAGGGGGCCTTGATGCTTCAACCAGCCTTTCCACTAAGATCCCATTTTCCCGTAAAGACAGTACATGGATGTCTGTGTGTTCATATATTTATTCCCCGAGCCTCAGAGTCACGAGTTCAGTAGTAGAGCAGAGAGAATACAGCCACTGTTATTCTTGCTCACCTCGTAAAGGAAACTAAAACAAAAAAGTGAAGGTGTGTACGTGACACACCATTAATTATTGAAACATTTTCATAAGCAACATACATAATTGCCCCCTTTTAGTTTTTTAAATCATTTTTCATGCTGCTAAGACTCCAGGAAGCCATATAGGGCACACCACTGCTTCCAGAAATTTTGAAATGTAATCTTACATATCTTGTATGTTGGGAGGCAGTCTCTCAAAGAAAATTGGGTAGAAAGAAAAAAAATTGAGATTAGGTTGGATTAAAACCATAGATCATTTATGGCATTGATTGTGACGATGGTTTCACAGATATATACTTACCTCCATACCATCAAGTTGTATACATTAAATATCTGCAGCTTTTTGTATTTCAGTCATATCTCAGTAGAGCACTTTAAAAAAATCTGTAGAACAATTTAGTACTGAATTCATTAAGCATATTTTTTTCATTGTACTACGTGTTCATTGCAGCTCGATTATGAATATGTTTTACAAATTGTATGTTACATATTATGTTTATAAATCACAAAGTCAAAAATTTGTTAAGGTTTAATTTATACTTATTCTACTTATGTATACTTGTATTTCAAATGTGAGATTATCAATGCATATTGTTTGCTACCAGCTTTTTCCTCATAGCAGTGTATCATGACTTTCTATAACCTTGAATAGAATCATAGTGGGGTTGTTTGCTTTTTTTTTCTTTTTTAATTTAATTTTTGAGAGGCAGAGAGAGACAGAGTGTGAGTAGGGGAAGAGCAGAGACAGAGGGAGACACAGAATCCGAAGCAGGCTCCAGACTTCAAGCTGTCAGCACAGAGTCCGATGCAGGGCTTGAACTCACGAACCGTGAGATCATGACTTGAGCCGAAGTAGGACACTCAACCAACTGAGCCACCTGGGCACCCCAGAATCATAGTGTTTAATGGCTGAGTGTTATGGTACTGTGATGAAATATTATGGTTTATTTAGTCAGCCTCCTTTTTTGAACATTTAGGATATATTCAGGTTTACACTCTTAGTGCAGCAATCATCTTTGCATAATTCTTTCTTAGGATGAATTTCTAGAAGTGAAATTGCTGGATAAAAGAGTACATATTTTTGAGGCTTTAAATTGAAATTGCCAAATAGTGGTCCAGATAGGCTGTAGCACTTCACATTTCTCCCAATGTTAGGCAGTGTGCTCATTCCTTCCGTCATGGACAGGAGACAAGCTTTCCCACATTGTTGCCAATCTGGTAAGTTTGTAAATGGGATCTTCCTGTTTTAATTGGCAATAATTATTCATGAAGCTGACAGTGTTCACTGGCCATTGTTGGTTTTGGTCTCACAAATGAGCAGCTCACAGTCTTGTTTGCAGATACTTCAGAAACTTTTTCTCATTTATTCATCAATCTTTTCAACGGTTTCTTTTTTTAAAAAAAATTTTTTTTAACGTTTATTTTTGAGAGACAGACAAAGCATGAGCAGGGGAGGAGCAGAGAGGGAGAGAGACACAGAATCAAAGTAGGCTTCAAGCTCTGATCCATCAGCACAGAGCCCGACGCGGGGCTCAAACCCATGAACCATGAGATCATGACCGGAGCCGAAGTCGGACGCTCAACTGACTGAGCCTCCCAGGTGCCCCGCTTTTCAATGGTTTCTTATGTTTTCTTTCCAGGAGCGACTAAAGCTGGTGACTGTTCTGGGTGCTGGTCTTCTGTGTGGAACTGCGCTGGCGGTCATCGTGCCTGAAGGAGTACATGCACTTTATGAAGATATTCTTGAGGGTGAGAGAGAGAGAGAGAGAAGAGGGCCTTCTTTGAGAAATGTCGTTGATGTGGAGAGTTGAAAGGAGAAGCCTAGTGGTTTTTTTTTTTTTCCTGAACATCGTTCACATTTGCCATACAGTCCCACCCTAAGAATTTTTAACACTTCTCTTCTGGCATCTTTGACATTGAACACACCCTTAGCAGTTTGTGAATTGGATGTCCCAATTCACCAGTGCCACTTAAGATGGAGTCACAATAATGCATGGATTTCAGTCTTCTAAGTATGAGAGTCCTGCTGTCGGTTCTGTGGTGCCTTTTTGGGTGATGGTTTTCATTTTAGTTCAGTTTTCAAAGGCTTTGTAATGCTGCTTTGGGTATGTCCCATCCCCACAGAGTGCAGGGGTGAGTCTGGGACGTGTGCCATTTATGCACACTGTTAAGGGAGCCCTTCTCAGCTCTTTCCTCTCCAGATGCCTCTCACCCTCCCCTGCTCCCAGGGGCCCCTTTGCTTCGTCCTCTGGCCAGAAGGATGGACTTTCTCTGGGAGTTTTAACTGCCTCTGCTGTTGCTGCACACTTCTGTGTAACTTGGGGCTCCCGTAGGATAAAGGAGCAGGAGAAAGGGGAGAACAGAATAACCAGATTTCCCCCCATGCTCTTCAGACCGCTCTGGTCAGAAAGGTGTGGTTTTTCAGGCGGTTGTAACTACCTGGGTTGCTGCCGTGCCAGTCAGCAACTGGGACGGCCTTCAGGGCAGGGCTGGGGAAGAAGGATGGGGGGCGGGGGGGGGTCTCCCTCCATACCAACACCTCACAGCAGCCCCTTTCCTGGGCCCCTGGCCGGAAGGACAAGGTTTCTTTGGAAGTTTTTGCTGCCCTCTCTCCCCTTGCTATGGCTTACATGTGTTAGTCCTTGGGGAGCTGTCCTTGGTGTGTTCTGTCCAGTTTGTGTAGTAACGATCATGTGATTGAGGCTCTGATAGGCTCACTCCATCTTAGCCTGCTCCAGAAGGCCCCGTCATTCTCTTTAAGAAGTAAAATATTAACACTCCACTCTGTGAAAAAATTTTTGGAAGTAGCATAACCATCATATTAACTTTAAACGCTTCATCCTTGAATTTTCCACATCTGTGCGCACTCTGGTGAGCTTGGTCATGTCGCTTTATTTTCTGCCACTTTATCTTTTTCTTCCCCCACCCTTTTCCTCTTTCTCTTTATTGTAGATCAAACCAACCTTTCTCCCCACTTCAAGAAAGGAGTCTGTGTACATGTTTACCACAGCCTATAGTTTAGTTCTCTGTGAACCTTATAATTATGATAATTAACAGATATTTTTTCAGAGCTCAATGTACCATGTTAATCAAGTGCCAGGGCACTTTAATAAGCATTATTAAATACTAATTAATATAAAAAGGAATCTCTCCCATATTTTTCTATAATTATAGCTCTATAATCACTAGAATTAGATTAGTATTCATGTGAGAAAACGGTCTTTCTATAGAAACAAGTTTTAAGAAGATGGTTTGTTGAGGACTTCAGTGCCTGTTTACCGTGGGGCTAAATTTGAAGCCACTGTAATTTTTTGGAACATGAGAATTGGTACATTAAGGAAGGCAAGCTGTGGGATCAAAAACCTAAATATAAACCTGATACATTATTCATGACTGTTAGGATAGTCATTGGACTGTTACCAGAAAAGGCTCAATATAGATTGTTTTACTAATTTGTCCACGAATGCCATATATCAGATATTTTAGAGAAATACAGTTATCTTGTGGTTTTGTCATTTTGCTCTACATTTAAATAAAAGGAGAGGGTTAAATCTGTTATATTTAATTAAATCTTATTCTGTCTCTTTAAAACTCTTAAACTTTATCCTCAGGATTCTGAAACATGGATGATCATGGACTGTTATCTGTCTCTTCTACTTCTTAGTTTGTCTACTAAAATGTCTGTCTGATCTCTGCTTTCTCCCCACCCCCTCCTCTCCTCCCCCCACCACATTATTTTATTACTGTTGTTTCTCACAGCATGTCAACTATTTCTGATCACAGGTAACATAAGATGTTTAAAAATGAATCTCCCAAATTCCACTTACTGTATACCTGTGTTCCTGGACACTTACGGAGCACTTAGCAGGTGTTCTGTGAAGGTCTTCACATATACTGTCTAATTATCACAACAACCCTCTGAGGCAGATGCGATTTTGCAGATGAGGACATTAAGCCACAAGGACACTGAACAACTTGTCCAAGGTGGTCAGCCAGTAAGTGTCAGGAGCAGGATTTCAACAGAGGCAGTCTTACTCTGAACCCTACCCTTTTTTTTTTTTTTTTAGCATGCATTTCCCCACAGGGAGAATTTAATTGATGGCACTAGTTTACTTTCCTCTTAAAAGACCAGTTGCAACCAGATGAAGTGAATGTAACCTCAGGATTTGATTGTCGTTATAACAAAATGTGAAGCTTAGAACTTCTAAGTTTCTCCTCCCAGCTCAGAATGCTTGCCTCTCTTAACAGCCAGCGTTTTCTTAGATCTGCAGTCGGGCCCCACACATCCAAGCCTTGAACAAGCCTCTTTGTAGTTTTAGCCTTTTTCCAGAAAATCGGCTTGGTCTGCCCAACATAGCCACTCTGCTTCCTGTCATAATGCCACTTTCCCTGGGCATACAGAGAACCTCTACCTTTTTTGTACTGTGTCACTTTGTGGGGTGCCTGCAGCGCTTTGTGCAGAAAGTCCAGCGGGTTTGGGCAATGTTCACCATGTTTGCAACAGCGCTATCGGCATGGGGGCAAGTGAAGCGTACCCTCTTAGTGACGGTACTCTGCCACATGGGGTGCATCCCAAGGAACTTAAAATCACCATTGCAGTTATCTGCTGAAGAGTTCTTATAATACGATATTTTTCCTTTCAAAAACACAGTAATATTTTGATCAAAGATTCATTCATTAACATCCCTTTAACGTGTCAGCTTTATACATTTGATTGTGATCAAGTTTTTCCTTTTACATGAGCAACAGAACATGTCACCGTTAAGTAGAAGTTATTCTGCCCTATTACTGAAAGCACATGTCAGGTGTAATGAACTATTTGTCTTTGCCAGAAAAACTGTATAATAAAGAGCTATAAAGGTTGCAAGGTAGGAGTAGAAGTTGGGAAATTAAAAACAACAAAGGCCCAGATCAAAACTGGAGATCACTTCAAAAAAAATTTTAAAAAGCCAGATTACCTGAAAATTTGTTTCTTTTATAGAGGTATGTATTAATCTGAAGGAGGAGTTTCAACAAATCTCTTCAAAGGGTAAATTGATTCTGTTACCTTTCATTTAATGAGTGTCTGTGACAAAGGATGGCTACAGGCTACACGTCATACAGATGGAACTTACTGGAAAGATTCCTATATAAATCTCTAGGGACAGAATCAAGCCCATATTGATTTGCAGAGCACTTTCTTAGTGGCGTGAGAAATCTGTGTCTGATGTGCAATATCCAGTGATAACACCATTGGTTTGTGTACTTTGCATCTAGGAGTATGATGTGGAACAAGTCTCGGCTAATGAATTACCAACCAGTGTCCTGAGTAATCAGACATACTAACCTGAAGGCTCGTTCATGAATAGTATATATACATATATGTGTGTGTGTGTGTGTGTATATATATATATATATATATATATGTATATATACAACTTAATGTATTTTAATTAGATTAAAAGATTAAAATTAAATTAAGCTATTTTGAGATTCCAGTTTTTGCTAGGTTCAGTTTCATGTCCAGAGTAGAAGGGAGGATGAGTGCATTAATATTCAGTATCTGGATTCCATTACTGATTTGTGTATGTACCAGTAAGGTGATTATCACTCACATTAAAAAGGGTTTATTTTTGTTTTTTGGTTAATATTTGCAAATAAAACCACTAATACCTACCATTGTATATATTCCATTGCAAGTAAAACCAGTAATGTCTACAATTGTATATATCCCAAGAAGTATTTCATGTTTTTATATAACGTTAAATTCTGTGAATGATAAGCATTCAGATCTTTTATGAGATGCCTCAATCAATAGCACAATTATTTCAAGCAATATTTATTATATGTTGCTGATATTTTACTTATCTGCTAAATTTTTACGTCAAAGTAAGTATTAACACCTTCAAAATTATAACTTCATGAAATTAGGCGTTTATAGAAATGATTGCTTAAAAAATGTTGGAAATCTTTCTTTAATTTACCTCCCTGTGTTCAGCACGTTTAGATGAGTATCATCAGTGGCAGCAGGATTTTCCTTGAGTCATTTTGGTTTGGGGAAATATAAAATTTATTCAGTGCCAATCTTCATAATAAGATAGCTGAGCAATTTATTCAATACTATTTTATATCAAAAGCAGGTGATAACTATAAAGACAGTTGTATTGTGATTCATAAACTTGACTCTTTAGCAGTACCAAAAGAGAAGTTTCAAAATTATTTTAAGAAAGCATTGTTGGCACCTTACACCTGTGAAAATAGCTAGAAAGATAATCAAAAAGGTAATCAAAAGATATCAAAAAGATAATCAAAAGACAGTGTTGGTGAGGATATGCAGAAAAAGGACCCCTCCTGCACTGTTGGTGGGAATGTAAATTGGTGCAGCCACTGTGGAAAACAGTATGGAGGGTCCTTGAAAAATTATAAATAGGAATACTATATGATCTAGTAATTCTACTGTTTATTGACCTAAAGAAAACTAAATCAAAAAGATACATGCACCCCTATATTTGTTGCAGCATTATTTACAATAGCCAAGATATGGAAGCAACTCAAGTATCTATTATTAGATGAATGGATAAAGAAGATAATATGTGTGTGTGTGTGTGTGTGTGTGTGAGAGAGAGACAGAGATTGCATATTACTCAGCCATAAAAAAGAATGAGATCTTGCCATTTGCAACAATATGGATGGATCTGGAGGGTATCATATGAGGTAAAATATATCAGAGAGAAAGACAATACAGTATGATTTCACTTACATGTAAAATC